GTGAACTAGACATTCAATTAGCTCTGGAAAATGATATTACTTTGGCTAAAAAGACTTCCAACTTTTTTTTCTCACCACGTGACTCTTGAAAAGAGCAATTAGAGGTTTATACAATTGTTTTACCAATACCTATTTATCCGTATAATTATTTTAGAAATTTCTATATTTTCTGTTTCTCTTGAGAATACTTCTTGTTGCTTTCTTCTACATGGCACACCAATAGACAAGTCACTAAAGATGTTGCTTTAAAGTCTATAACATCTGTGGTAGTTGTCGATTTTGAAAATCACATGGCGATATTGACTTTGGAAATAATATAATTTTTTCGTTGTTGTTAAGAACCAAAATCGGTTGAAGATGTTATGCATCAACCGCACTGTAAAAATGTTCTTCGATCATTAAGGAGGGACTTGTCAAGGTCTTTTAGAGCTAGAGTAATGACTAACATTTTGTGCTTATAATGATGCTAAGAGAGAACATTCCTATTAATACACTCATAAAGCTATAGATAAAAATTTGTTTGGACATTAACAACAATTCAATCCTCAATTTTTCCCGTGTTAGTTCTAATTAATTATTTCAGTACTTATTGTGGCATCAATCGTTATGCTTAGAAAACAGAGGTTTTATCTATTAATATTACGAACATGTATTTTCAATTCTGTTAAGTCAGAGGAAAAATCTAAATATATGATTAATATGTTAATGCAAGAGTTCTGAACCTTCTTTTATTTGAACAATAAATTATTGAATCAAATGCACAGTTTTTAATTAAAGAAAATTAGACGAAGTTATGAAATAATTCAACTGTCCCAATCCAGAGAATACCTTATGTTAGTAAAAAATGATAAAGCATCTAAGAATAAGTTTGTCTCTAAATTTTTTGCCAAATAATCTAACGATGAAATTATGGTCAATACATTATTTTCCTAGAGTGTTCGTAGTATTGACGCGATAAGACCTCTGAAAAATCTGTAACACTCTTAAATTGTTGTCGTTTCTTCTCTTCAACACGGCACCTTGGCAGACAAGTTAATAAAGACCGTTGCAAAATCAATAACACCCTTTTTCAGCTATTCAATTTAATTACAACTTTGAATTAATATTTTTTGACTAAAATAATAATACCCTTCGATGCGTAAATATTAGAGTAGACATTAAACCACACCCATACTTATATATATATTTAATAATATATGGCTTTCATTATTTGAAAATTCGAATTGTATTTGTTGGATGGAAGGGCCCATGTTGATTATCATATCACATTTTTGTCAAACTTGGTGAGTACGAGTACTAAATAAACCAAGACCAACGACTAAAGAAATTAAAACGTGTAAATGCCTCAGTTTTCTGTACTCTATTTCTCTTTCACGCACTATTAGAACAAAAAAAAAAAAAAAAGAGAAAAGAAAATAAAATAAAAAAAGAGCCAATTCAGCCAGTCAAGATAGAACACAAGTCAAGAAAGATCAATTATTTGGTTTGTGAGATAAGTGGAAGACGAAGAAAACGCGTCTAGTCGTCTTCACTCTATTTCTCTTTCACGCGTCTAGTCGTCTTCACTTTATTTCTCTTTCACACAACGCAAGAAAGAACAGAGGAGGAAAAATGTTGTATCGATCATTTCCGTGAATCACGCTCTAACGTTGTTCTTGATATATCAAATATGATCAAGCGGTCTTCAGAGTATATATCTCTCCGCTGATCATCTTGAAAAAGGTGATGTTTGATGACACAAAAATGCAAAATGCCTTAATATTTGTTCGAAAATTTCCCATTCTACAGTTACAAAAAAAAAAAAAGAGCACATTGCCTTTTTATTCTCTTCCTCAGTGAAAAGAAATGATGCCGACTAAAGCTTTACTTTTTGTTATTCTAAAAATATGAGAAGAACCAAAAAAAGAAAATAAAAAAAATAAGAAAAACCCAAACTTTGTTGTTAAATCTCCGCAGCTTAAAACTAGCTAAATCCCCTGCCATAGGAGAAAGAGATCCTACCCTGTATTTTTCTTTTTTCTTTTTTTCGACTTACAAAAACATTATAGTGAAACGATCTAATTTTTAAATATATTTAAGGCTCATGGTTCTTTTTTCTTAATATATTATATTGAAAGGTCTCCATCGATCGACCATATCTCCTACAACTCTAGTTGGCTAATGAGTACTTGTCCTTACTATCTGCCTATAAATATGCATTGTCGCACAACATCTCAATGCACACAACTATATATATTTTAGTATATCCAGAGTTCATGACACACTTGATAAATATTTCTCAGAAAATCATGGTATTCTTTCAGTTGTTGAGTCTGCTTCTCTTCTTCCTTCCTTCTCCATCAACCTCTTTACCTTCTCTGCCTTCTCCCTTTGCCCGTCCTTCGCCACTGTGTCATCCCCATGAAAGCACTGCTTTGCTCCACTTCAAGAACTCCTTTTCCATAATCAATTATAGTTCTTATTAGGCTGAGTACTATGGAATTGCTAATCCTAATAGTACAATGTCTTGGAATACGAGCAGGGATTGCTGCACATGGAGTGGAGTCACATGTGATGAAGTCACAGGTCATGTCGTTAGGCTTGAACTTGGATGCAGCGGGCTTCAAGGCATTATCCACTCCAACAACAGTTTGTTCCTTCTCACTCATCTTCAAACTCTTATTCTCTCCCATAATTCTCTCCATGGTTCTGAAATCTCACCCCAATTCGGCAGCTTTTCAAGTATGCTTCACCTTGACCTTTCTTACTCTGGTTTCACTGGCCAAGTCCCTCTAGAATTCTCTTACTTGTCTCATTTGATTACACTTGATCTTAGTTCTTTGTTCAATGATTTGAGACTAGAGAATTTTAGTTTGAAACGAATTGTTGCAAACTTAACAAGTTTGAGAGAGTTGTCGTTGAGTGGTGTCAATATGTCTTCTGTCTCTCATAATTCCTTTATGAATTTATCGGAGACATTGATATCTCTTGATTTGAGTGCTACTGAAATGAAAGGGGAATGTCCAGAAAATATTTTTCTTTTGCCAAACCTTCAAGAGCTCAAACTATCGGACAACCATAATCTCACCGGTTCATTTCCTAGATATAATTGGACCACCCCGCTTAGAAATTTGAGCCTTTCTTCCACTAGATTCCTAATAGATTTACCATATCTTACTAGGAGTTTAAAATATTTGAATCATTTGGATGCCAGGAATTGCAATTTCAGTGGACCGTTTCCTGCATTAATGCTTGGTAACATAACTCAAATCACTTCCTTAGATCTCTCTTCTAACAATTTTGGTGGTCAAATCCCATGGGATTCTTTCAATCTGGAGAAGCTGAATTTTCTAGATCTTTCATACAATAATTTTGAAGGCCAGCTCCCTCAAATTTGTGGTAATTCTACAAAGAAAATATTTCTTTGTGACTCTTCAGAAAGTGATAAATTAGTGGGCCTTCTTCCTTTGAATTTGAAATCCTTGGACTTATCTGGGAACTTACTTAGTGGAACAATACCTTCTTGGCTATATTCCCTTCCGTCTTTACAAGATTTATATCTACATCAGAATCAATTCACTGGTCATATTAGTGAATTCCAGTACAATTCTTTAGTAACTCTTGATTTAAGGTCAAACAAACTAGAGGGCCTTATTCCAAGATCAATTTTTCAGCAAGTGAACCTTCATAGGTTACATCTTTCATCAAATAACTTGAGTGGTGTCATTCACTTAGAACAGTTCTCAAGGCTAAAAAAACTCAAAAGACTTTCTCTTTCTTTTAATAGCCTATCAGTGGATTCTATCAACTCCATCACATACGTTTTGCCCAATACCCTTTGGTTATTGGAATTGTCTTCATGCAATATCACTGGGTTCCCACATTCTTTAAGAAGCTTGGAAAATTTAGAATACTTGGACCTTTCCAACAACAGAATTGATGGGAGTGTTCCCCAATGGTTGTGGAACGTTGGGAAGGATTCATTGTATTATCTCAATATTTCTCACAACCTCTTAACTCATATTGGGAAAATTCCATGGAAATTGTGTGGAAATTGTGTATTTTTATTGTCATCCTCTAATCAAATCATTTAATTATTTGTTGTTTTTTTTCATAATCTTTCCCATATTTGTCAAACAACAGCTTGAGTGGGAACATCCCACCATGCTTTGGAAATTTTAGCAGAATCTCTATTTTAGTAATTGTCATTGATCTTTTTTCAGCTATTCAATTTAATTACAACTTTGAATTAATATTTTGTGGCTAAAATAATAGTACCTATTAATGAATAAATATTAGAGTAGACATTAAACCACACCCATACTTATTTATATTTAATAATATATGGCTTTCATTATTTGAAAATTCGAATTGTATTTGTTGGATGGAAGGCCCCATGTTGATTATCATATCACATTTTTGTCAAACTTGGTAAGTACGACTACTAAATAATGGAAAAGTTGATCCATGCCTTATGTAACCAAGACCAACGACTAAAGAAATTAAAACCTGTAAATGCGTCAGTTTTCTGTACTGAAAACGTGTAAAAAAGATCCAATTCAGCCAGTCAAGATAGAACACAAGTCAAGAAAGATCAATTATTTGGTTTGTGAGATAAGTGGAAGACGAAGAAAACGCGTCTAGTCGTCTTCACTCTATTTCTCTTTCACGCGTCTAGTCGTCTTCACTTTATTTCTCTTTCACACAACGCAAGAAAGAACAGAGGAGGAAAAATGTTGTATCGATCATTTCCGTGAATCACGCTCTAACGTTGTTCTTGATATATCAAATATGATCAAGCGGTCTTCAGAGTATATATCTCTCCGCTGATCATCTTGAAAAAGGTGATGTTTGATGACACAAAAATGCAAAATGCCTTAATATTTGTTCGAAAATTTCCCATTCTACAGTTACAAAAAAAAAAAAAGAGCACATTGCCTTTTTATTCTCTTCCTCAGTGAAAAGAAATGATGCCGACTAAAGCTTTACTTTTTGTTATTCTAAAAATATGAGAAGAACCAAAAAAAGAAAATAAAAAAAATAAGAAAAACCCAAACTTTGTTGTTAAATCTCCGCAGCTTAAAACTAGCTAAATCCCCTGCCATAGGAGAAAGAGATCCTACCCTGTATTTTTCTTTTTTCTTTTTTTCGACTTACAAAAACATTATAGTGAAACGATCTAATTTTTAAATATATTTAAGGCTCATGGTTCTTTTTTCTTAATATATTATATTGAAAGGTCTCCATCGATCGACCATATCTCCTACAACTCTAGTTGGCTAATGAGTACTTGTCCTTACTATCTGCCTATAAATATGCATTGTCGCACAACATCTCAATGCACACAACTATATATATTTTAGTATATCCAGAGTTCATGACACACTTGATAAATATTTCTCAGAAAATCATGGTATTCTTTCAGTTGTTGAGTCTGCTTCTCTTCTTCCTTCCTTCTCCATCAACCTCTTTACCTTCTCTGCCTTCTCCCTTTGCCCGTCCTTCGCCACTGTGTCATCCCCATGAAAGCACTGCTTTGCTCCACTTCAAGAACTCCTTTTCCATAATCAATTATAGTTCTTATTAGGCTGAGTACTATGGAATTGCTAATCCTAATAGTACAATGTCTTGGAATACGAGCAGGGATTGCTGCACATGGAGTGGAGTCACTTGTGATGAAGTCACAGGTCATGTCGTTAGGCTTGAACTTGGATGCAGCGGGCTTCAAGGCATTATCCACTCCAACAACAGTTTGTTCCTTCTCACTCATCTTCAAACTCTTATTCTCTCCCATAATTCTCTCCATGGTTCTGAAATCTCACCCCAATTCGGCAGCTTTTCAAGTATGCTTCACCTTGACCTTTCTTACTCTGGTTTCACTGGCCAAGTCCCTCTAGAATTCTCTTACTTGTCTCGTTTGATTACACTTAAACTAGGTCAATTTTACAGTTTGAGACTAGAGACTTTTAGTTTGAAACGAATTGTTGCAAACTTAACAAGTTTGAGAGAGTTGTCGTTGAGATATGTCAATATGTCTTCTGTCTCTTGTAATTCCTTTATGAATGTATCGGAGACATTGATATCTCTTGATTTGAGTGCTACTGAAATGAAAGGGGAATGTCCAGAAAATATTTTTCTCCTGCCAAACCTTGAAGAGCTCACACTATCGTACAATTATTATCTCATTGGTTCATTTCCTAGATATAATTGGACCACCCCGCTTAGAAATTTGAGCCTTTCTTCCACCAGATTCCTAATAGATTTACCATATCTTACTAGGAGTTTAAAATATTTGAATCATTTGGAGGTCAGCAATTGCAATTTCAGTGGATCGTTTCCTGCACTAATGCGTGGCAACATAACTCAAATCACTTCCTTAGATCTCTCTTATAATAGTTTTGGTGGTCAAATCCCATGGGATTCTCTCAATCTGGAGAAGCTGAATTTTTTAAATCTTGAAGGAAATAATTTTGAAGGCCAGCTCCCTCAAATTTGTAGTAATTCTACAAGGAAAACATTTCTTTGTGACTTTTCAGAAAGTGATAAGTTAGTGGGCCATCTTCCTTTGAATTTGAAATCCTTGCTCTTATCTGACAACTTACTTAATGGGACAATACCTTCTTGGCTATATTCCCTTCCGTCTTTACAAGATTTATATCTAAGTTACAACCAATTCACTGGTCATATTAGTGAATTCCAGTACAATTCTTTAGTAACTCTTGCTTTAAGTTCAAACAAACTAGAGGGCCTTATTCCAGGATCAATTTTTCAGCAAGTGAACCTTTTTTGGTTACATCTTTCATCAAATAACTTGAGTGGTGTCATTCACTTAGAACAGTTCTCAAGGCTAAAAAAACTCAAAAGCCTTTCTCTTTCTTTTAATAGCCTATCAGTGGATTCTATCAACTCCACCACATACGTTTTGCCCAATACCCTTTGGAGATTGGAATTGTCTTCATGCAATATCACTGGGTTCCCATACTCTTTAAGAAGCTTGGAAAATTTAGAATACTTGGACCTTTCCAGCAACAGAATTGATGGGAGTGTTCCCCAATGGTTGTGGAACGTTGGGAAGGATTCATTGTGGAATCTGAATATTTCTCACAACCTCTTAACTCATATTGGGAAAATTCCATGGAAAAGTCTATCGTATATTGACCTTAGCTCCAACAGGCTTCAAGGTCATCTTCCAATTCCACCACCTTCAACTTCTCTGTTTTCAATCTCAAACAATCAATTGGTTGGAGAGATACCTTCTCTGTTTTGCAACCTTACCCCGATTGTAGTTCTTGATTTGTCAAACAACAGCTTGAGTGGGAACATCCCACCATGCTTTGGAAATTTTAGCAGAATCTCATTTTTAGATTTGCGAATGAATAAGTTATGTGGAATGATTCCACCAACATTTGCAAAAGGAAACCGCTTGAGGAATCTCAACCTCAATGGAAATCAGTTAGAAGGGCCGTTGCCTCAATCTTTAGTCAATTGTGAAAGGCTGGAAATTTTGGATGTCGGGAACAACAAGCTGAACGGGTCATTTCCCCATTGGTTGGAATCTCTTCCGGAGCTTCAAGTTCTTATATTGAGATCTAACAGACTTTCTGGTCCTCTAAGTAATCCCAAGGTGAGATTTCCCTTTCAAAAATTGAGAATCATGGACATCTCTAACAATGATTTCAACGGTACTTTGCCGACACAATATTTTGAGAATTTGGTGGCCATGATGGATGCTTATGAAGATTCCTTAGTGTACATGGGAGAACGAGATGTTGGTGCGATCTATTATTCTGTGACAGTGACAATTAAAGGATTCGACACTGAGCTAGTGAAAATACAAAAACTGTTCATAACCATTGATTTCTCAAGTAATAGCTTCACAGGAGAGATTCCAACAGTGATCGGGAAGCTTAATTCACTCAAAGGCCTTAATTTTTCTCACAACAAGCTATCCGGTCATATTCCACCATCCTTGGGAAACTTGAGCAACCTTGAATGGTTAGACCTCTCATTAAACGAGCTTTCTGGAAACATCCCATTGCAACTAGCTGCGGAGTTGTATCAACTTCAAATATTAAATCTTTCAGACAACAAATTAGAGGGACAAATACCTCGTGGAAGGCAATTCGATACGTTCAACAATGATTCATACAGCGGAAACGTTGGATTATGTGGATTTCCTCTATCTAGATCATGCAGCAATGATGGTGCACAACACGATCAAGGTGGTGTTGATGATGGAGATCACAACAATGGAATGATTGATTGGAAGGTGGTGATGATGGGATATGGAAGCGGAACGGTGATCGGAATATCTATCGGATACATGGTCCTTTCCAGCAGAAGCTTCAATTATTGGTTTCACAAAAGATTTGGAGGGGGACGACGTCGCAAAACCAATGCTCGCTTAAGACGGAGGAGAATATCAAACTAGCAAGCAAAGGAAAACACAATCGGACCATGAGAAGTAAAGTAAGTTTGTATTGAACATTTGCCGTTATAAATTCTTGTTTGCTTTTATGAATTAAACTTTATCAACTAAGTAATTATTATTATTTATTTTTATTTTTTTTTTTTGCATTCTGGGTTTTGATGTAGTTCAGGAGGATGCATGAAGAGTTATTATTCAAATTGGCGTACTGAGGCATATATGGATCTGATGACAGCACTATCTTCTTTCATGTATATCTTTACTAGTTATATGAATAATTTATTTTCTTTCGTTTTCGTTACTAGTTAGTATATTTTGAAAATTGTTATCGTAATTGAGGATTCGGTCATATCGAAATGTTTTAGAGCTTGTATTTTACGTACTTGTTCAATGGAATTGTCAATTATGCTTTTGTTTAAGTTGTAACGTGCATCTAATGATGCAAAGAAAATTTATATTGTGAATTCTTAAATACGAGAATTAATTGGAAGCGCCAATTTCGTACTCAATTAGTAGGTAAAACTCTTTTTCAAACATATTTATTACCCACATATTTTTTTTAAAAAATTGTCTAGCTAAAAGAAAAATTTACCCACACATTTTTATGTGTGGGTAAAAAATAAGTAGGTAAAAAAATATGCCTCGTGGAAAAATTTTGTCACGTTAGCATTGACAACGTGGAACTTTCTTTTATCCTTGAAATTTTTTGGCACAAAAAAAAAAAATTGCTTAGGTAATTCAATTTAACTACACACATATGTGAAGGTAAAATTCCTTTTGCAAATACTTGTAATACGCAATACCTACACATTTAAAAAACGTGTAGGTAAACGAAAGATTTAACAATGTGTGGGTAAAAAATGTGTAGGATTCGGTTTCTTCTAGTAGCTACTAGCTAGTATATTTGGAAAATTGTAATCCTTATTGAGGATTCAGTAATATCCTGGTGTTGTGGAGTTTGTATTTTACATTCTTGACTAATAAATTATGGTTTTTTTTTTTTTTTTTTTTTAAGTTATAACATACATCTATTTCGCAGAGGAAAATTATGTATTGTGAATTACCAAAAAATGGAATCAATTGGAAGAGGCAATTTCGTACTAAAATAGTTGTTTATATATATCGTCAGATTGAAGACTCGCAGCCGAATAATTAAACAGCCTTTGTCACCAGATCTAAAAGAAAAATAATATATACATTCACCAAATATTTATTTACTCTGGAAACTATTTTTGGAAATTCTAAATTAATATGTCGGGCATAAGGCAACATTTTTTTTTTTTTTTCAAAAAGTCTATAAATTCATTATCTCTAATGTCCATATAATTCTTACTTTCCTAGCATAGTGCTCAGAAATTAAGAATTGTAACCCCATATCCAAATTCAGGTTGTAATTTTTTTTTTCACAAAATAAAAGAATTAATTTTTTATATTAAGCGTATAAAAAAAAGAATATTTCAAGAAATAACTTGTTTGCTTTTTGTTTTTGGAAACTATCAGCATTTGTCATTTTATATTTTTACAATTTTTAGTTGTCTGTTGTTTTCAATGCTTCTAGTCATTTTTCAGAGGATTATCGTCTGCGACTTCTCAATTGTTTATCTAGTTCTTGTCATTTTACAGAAGTTTGAGATCTTTTATCAAGTTGTTGTTTTCTTAGTCATACATTGAATGTTGCTCGTTAAATCTTTATATTTTGATGGACTGTCTTATGAATTTTCGCACGTTATATTATCGATTTTCTTTTGTATTCGTTCAGTAAATCGTTTAACAATTTATTGTCATTTTGTCGTTTATGTACTGTTCTATTTTTCAGAATTGGCGGCGCAAAATTCAAAATTTATGATATCATTGTATTCTAGGTGATTTCTTTTTTTGGTCTCATATTGTTCTCGTTCAAACTCCAAAAAATTTGGAATCATTTTAAAAAAAAAAATGAAATATTTTCATAAATATTCTATAACTCCTGATTTTTAAAATTTTTTTAAAATTTGGAATCATTATCTAATTGATTGTTTGAAGTTTTTGGTGGGAAATTACTTGGAGAAAATTGTTAAAGCGAAAGAGTCAAAGTCTTTTAAGTAAGATGAAAATATATTTATTGTATGTCATGTTATAAGTCACCGTAACTTGAGTTTTGGGTTGGACATTTGAGTTTCCATTGTCTTCTCTAATAACTTTTCTATTAGTTGTCTATCAAGTTGTGCTAATTTGAATTTCACCTTATCTTCTCTGGCTATTGTAGATCTTCTCACGACAATAAATTTTATGATTAAAATTGGTTTATTATTGATAAATTTGTTGATTAAAATTGAATTTCATTTGAGTTTCCATTTGGTTTATTATTGATAAATTTATAATTTGTTGATTAAAATTGATTAATTATTAATTGATTTTAGTTCTTTATTAACTAAAATTAATTAATAATAAGAAATCATCGAGTTAATCAGTGATAAATTAAAGTCAATCAGTGATGGACCGTTAAGTCAATCACGATTGATCTCTAAGTCAATCAGTGATAGACTGCTAAGTCAATCAGTGATTGATCAATAAATTAATAAAGACGGTCAAACAAATAGGGGGACCTACAAAGACAATTTTTCTAATTGATTCATTGATTGTTTTTTCAGTTAAATCATATGGACAAATTCATCAGTCGTCACTCTTGAAAGAAATTTCTCACGACATTCCCCCATAGAGAGCGATCGTTAGATGTCTTACCGTAAGAAGACCTCAAAATTGGTTTTGCTTTGAGGGCAACAATTTCCTGAGAATATAAGGTTAATAGACTTGCCATTCGCTCCAGAAAATTATATTATTTTTCATGACTGAAAAGACTTTGAGCCTTTTCCCCTGCATGTGATACTTATCCGTAAAAATATTTTTGAAATTTCTATATTTTTTATTGTCTTTGAGAATATTTCTTCTATCTTATCTTCAACACGACACCTTAGTAGACTAATACAAAAATCAGTAACGCCCTCAAATTATTGTCGTTGTTATCTTTATAGTCGTTCTCTAGAATTATCGTCACTACGGTCATAAAATTAACCACAATTGCATCCTCTTTACTATTTCACGCCCTGTCTTGCTTTGCAATTTTTGTTTTATTCAACAAGTTATTAAACAAAAATTATAATTTTTGCCCCATAAATTTTCAAAATTTCAATTTGATCCTATTTTTAACTTTTTGTAGTAATTAGGCTCCTATCCCAATCACACGAACCAGACTATGACTAGTTCTAAATAGAGTAGTCCAGAAACTAAATAAAAAATAAAAAATTTATTCACTGTCTATTATTTAATAATACATCATTCGTACATAATATATTCTATGTAAGGAAAAGACTTCATATTTAACGAGACGATGCCACACTTTTCCTTTTCTTTTTTAAATGAGTAATTATTCTTCATTCTATCGATAATAGTTAGCAAATTTTGTCACGTATAGAGCGGCTGGTCCAATAAAATTAATATATTCCAATGGATTTAATTAACATTTAGAAAAGTGAAGCACCTTTTTAATTTCTATAATTCAATTTGGTCGTTTGAGGTCTCCTTCCAACGAAGTTAATATATTCCAATGGATTTAATTAACATTTATAAAAGTGAAGCACCTTTTTAATTATTATACTTCAATTTGGTCGTTTAAGGTCTTCTTTTAAAAGAACTAATTGCAAAATGAAATTAATTAGTTGTGAAATTTCTATATGGAACATGAATAACGTCCACTAATCCATTTTAATTTATCTTTTCTTGATTATGTCAACCCGGATTTGGTCAAGTAAACCATGGACCACCTGATTATTGAAAGTTAGAAATTAGAGCAAATGTGGCTCTCCATTGCATAGGAAGTGGGCAAATTCAGACGAAGGAAAAAAAAAAATGTCTAGCCCATAGAATAAGTTACACTGATTTCTAGTAGTACTAGTTGTAAACACAGTCGACACGAACTTTTTTTCTCCCTAGAAAGACTTTGACATGTATTCATTACATATATATATATATATAGACTTTTCTTCGTCCCTCGGTGGGAGGTCTCTCCAACGTAACACTAGTTACGAAAATGTAATATGTTAATTATTAACGTAACATCAATGTTAGAGAAAAGTAACACCAAAAAAATTTAGTCATCTAAAGATTATGTTACTTCTTTGCAATGTCGATGTTACGTTCAATAATTGTCATGTTACGTTTTTATAACTATATATTACGTTAGCGGGACCGTCCTTCCGGAGGGACTGAAAAAAAAAAACCTATATATATACTATTCGTCAAAAAAATAAAAAAGAATTGGTGGCTTGAATTTGTTGTTTTTTAATGACCAAATTTTCCATTTTTTTGACGGAAATTTTTTGTTTTGTTATTACAACTTTCTCCATACTACGTGCCTGATGAGTTAGGAGATAATCAAGTTATCTTTGGAAATTTAGTACATACATATGATGGCATACGTTAGGGAAAAGATATTAATAGCGAAGAATGTATTTTTGCTATTAATACTCGTACTTATTTGGTATTCTACTTCCCTGCTTAGCTGAGGAAGAATTACGAGACCTCAAATAGAAATATATATATTGATGAAAGTGTATTATATTTAAAGTTTACACAATGAAAGATAAGAAATAAACGTCAACCAATTTGATCAATTATTTTTCAGACTTTCTGAGCAGATATAGACTTGTGTTGTGGTTTAGCATATAGTTTTGTATCTCGGTTGGTCCTTCTTTTCTTTATCATAAGGTTCGGTGATCACTAATGATTAATTAATAATAATCATCTATATTAATATTTATTATTTATTAATTAAATAAAAACCTATTTCAACGACAAAATCTATTATTGTTTTGTTTTTGTTAGATCTAATGTTACGTCTAGTGTTCCAGATAATGTTGGAACACTGTCTGGAACACTGCTTAATTAATTAAGATCCGGGTTAATTGCGTTCAGTTGCTCGAGCAGAAAGTAAAGAAACACACAATATGATATCACAGTTCGGTACGCACACCTACATCTGCAGGGCCATGCCCAGACAATAAACAGTTCACCATGTTCCAAAAATTACAGATACTACACGGACTTATTCACTCAAGGACTCCCTCCTAGACAATGACGCCGCTATGACGAATCTCCACAGTGATTGTTTAGCGTGCACCACACGTCTTCTATTCACCTGACGAACTCCCTTCGACCGGCAGAGGTTCCTCCCTAAAGCAACAAATCCATCTCCCGAATGACGATCTCAATAACTCATAAA